GTTATGTTAAACTTATATTAAAGTTTTTCTTCATTACCCATCAAGCCGTCTCCAGCCATTATATGTTTTGGGATGTTATCTGTTAAGGTGGTTTGTAAAGTCTTGGATCTTGTCTTCATTGTGTGGTTGTATTATGAATGTATCATTATTGTAGATGAGCTAATCTTAATGTATAGAGTAGCTGTTTTAGGGATGTTAATTTCAAAATGTTCCATGTAGAAATTTCTGAGTACTGGCGATAGGGATGAATCCATAACTAGGCCTTGTCGATGGTAGTATTGATCTTCAAGTTCGTAGTAGGTTACATTGACACAGAAGGTTGTGAGTTCTGTTGTGGAGATTGTCAGTTTGATGTATTCCTTAAGAGTTCTGTCATTTTCAAGCTATTTGTGTAGTTTTTGTAATGTGTCATGGTTTTTTTTTTTCACGAGTCTAGGGTGACTCCATAAGTTGGTGGTGCATTATAAAATTAGCTGCATCCATGTTGAAATAACTATAAGTAGTGGTAGAATACGTTGGTCCCTGGATGCTGAAGGGTTTGAAGGTGCTCTAAAATAAAATTATTACCTAAAGATAAATTCAAATGAAGCTAATATTTTTACCTCAGTGTTTTTTTAAATTGTTTAAGAAAATACTAGGGAGCAAAACAAGAGAGAAAATTTTATAGGTAAAAGAACAAACGTCATCTAAGTATGAAAAAAATAAAGTAATTCTTTTATCCTTCTTGAAAAATGTCAAAAAAACAAATTTACATTTCACTTCTGTACCTCATAAATATGAATTACTGGTTAATATTGGTAAATGAGAAGTACGTATCACAAAATTCAAATTTATTGTCAAATCAAAATTAAAAAGATTTTAAATGATAAAATTTACTTCTTTTTTTTTTTATAACAGATTAAATGCATTTAATTTAAAGTTAACTTTGCTAAATTTTATTTATTTTACAATATAATTCCTACATTTGAAACACGGCATTGCTCAAAAGAGTTTCTAACTTTAACTTACCCCTAGTGCTAATTGGATCAAATGGATATTAGGCACCTTTGTTTATGATTCTCTTACAGAATAACAACATGCTGTTCAATTAGCATGTGGAGCTATTCTTGTCCTTGAATTGGGAAGTAGTTTTTGGTGGGCTTGCCTGTTATCTTCACAGTCCATTGGCCAACTGATCTATCAGACAGCAATAACTGTTTAATTGTGTCAGAAGGTTTATTGTAATATCTGGAACAGTGTCTGAGAAAGCAGGATTTTTCTATATATTGAACAGATTTTTCGTAGACTTGTACAAGATTTCACACAGTTTTTACATGGAATTTCCATAGATTTTATAAGGATATTAGTTGACTCTAGATTTTCACACAGTGTTTCTGTAACTTTCAATTCAATGCGAGAACTCTTAATTTTACTTTCAGAGAAATCTTTAAGTTCTCTTGTAACTTTAAACTTTTAAAACAACTTGCATCTGTGCAGGTAACTCAAAAATTCAAAAACAACTCACATTTGTGCAGGCTCTACTTGGCTTTAACTTATAATTTAGTTAAGTGTTTATAAATTTGTTTAAGTTCACTAGAGAGAGAATAATGTATAACTTGCCTACAGGATAGTAGAGTCTACGTTTTGTTTAAATTACACATTGTTATTGTTGTTATTCAGTAAAGAGGAGTTGAGAGAGTTACCATATTATGTTAAAATTTTAACTTTGGAACACTGTTTGTAATTTTTATTTTTTTTATATTCTAGCCTAAGTTACAGGGGGGGGGGGAGCACATGCACTTGCAAGAGCCAATTATTTAACCCATTGACTGCAGTTGCTCTAAACAGGAGCAGAATTTTTGCAAGCTGTATACGGCACTCTCGTATTCCACTGCTAGAAGCATACAGTACCCTATGTGGCGAATCAGCAGTCAATGGGATAATAGCCTTCATTTCTCTTACTAGTCTCTCTTACTTTTTTGTTTTTAATACACACACAAACACATAATCACTTGCTCTCAATTGTTTAATAGTACTTTGTATGTTTTTCTATAAACTGTCAAAATTTAAATTAATGATTGGTTCCTTAATTATTTTTAATTTCATATTTAGCATTTTTTTTCTACTTTTTTTTTAACCTTGGTTAGTTCTTAACTGTGCGAATTAAATTGGGGGAAAAATTTTAGTTTTTTAACTTTTAGTGTATTCCTGTGTTTATCCAGTATATTTAAATATATATGATATTGGTAATCAGTTTTTAACACTGGTTTTCCCCTAAAATATTTTACAGTGACTATGTTCGCGGAGCCAAGGTCCGTCTACGACTACACGATTTAGAGCTTTCTTCGAGATTTTTGGGCTCTAGTAAAGATTTGACATTGTTGGAAGCAGATGCAACTTTGTTGGGGTTAGTGTGGTCACCAGTCCAAGAATCATTACAGAAAAAAGAAGTTAATACATGAAGTCCTTCCAGTTGAACCAGTCCAAATGAAACCAAAAGAAAGAAAAGTTGAAAACATTGTGTTAGGTGTTTTTAGTTTCATGATTTTTGTGGCATACTTTTAGAATCACTGCATTCTCAGTAAGCTGAATTTCTTTTTAGTTAAGAACTGTTGCGGTAATTTAAAATTTTGACATCTATATTTCAAATTTAACAGTTTGATAACATAATATGAAAAATGAACACTGGTTATAGACGAGATGTAATTAGACAGTTTTTGTTGTTGTTTTTTAATAAAGGCAATTTTTATGCTTAACAGTATGTTGGAGAAGTTCTATTCTGACTGTAAATAATATAATGTCCATCCCAAAATTTGTCAATTAGTTTATATACAGATATTAATTTTTTTTTTCTCACACCACTAAAATTGATCCTTTAACTAAAATTCTACATCTAGATTCAACTGTGTAGAACTCTGATGACACCTGTTTGTTTTGTGTGATTTCTTATTGTGCCACACATGTTTTTTTATTAGGCTTAAGTTGTATATGTTTGTGTTACATATTTAAACTTCTAATGATTTTTTTTTTTCTCTTGTCATTGAGCAGGTCATGGCATAGTGTTTAATATGTCAGTCTGTGAAGCTGAGGGTCCATGATTTGTGTCCCATTGTCAAAAAAATGCTTTCTGCATTTTGGGTTTAAGGGTCAAATGTCACTATTCATTTATAGAAGTTCAAGAGTTGGCATATGATGCTGTTGACAAACTAACTTTTCTCTAGTCTGTCAGTTCAGAATAAAGATGACTAGTACAGATAGGCATTTTGTAGCTTTGCACACATTTCTAAAATAGAATATCTCATCTGCATTATTTCGATACTGAGTTCATGTAAAGATGTTATTATTTGTATTTTCTTTTATGGTTTTACAGTGACAGTTCTGTTTCTTGATGGTAATCAAAATGTCTTTTAATTAGCAGTAGTAGTCCTGCAAAGACACACTTGATTGGTCTTGCAAAGAACTTTTGAGATTTCCATACTTTAAAGAATTCATTATATTTGTTAACACTGACTTATATTGGCATCTTTTTTCCTCTTGTCTTCTTCAGCATTCAGTATTTGGTCTTTAAGACCAAAGTGGAAAACTAATTGGAGCCAGATGAAGCATTAAGGGTACAATTAATCCTTGGAGAAAATAGGTATCCATTCATTGCTGGGACATAACTTCTAATAGTCCATACCAACATTCCTCAAACTGAGGGTTCCAACCCAAAAGGGATTTACGAGTCTGTTGTAAGGAGGGTGGCATGAGATTATAAAACGTGTTGTGATAATGGATATTTTAGAGTTTGTACAGTAATTTAATATCACAGTCTAAAATATTTTGAAAGGAATGCCCAGCAAAAAATAGGTTGAGAACCCATGGTTTATACAGATACGTTTTTTACCATCATTCTTATTATTACAATTGATAATGCCCAGCAAATAAAAAGGTTGAGAACCCCTGGTTTATACAGATACATTTTTTACCATCATTCTTATTATTACAATTGATAATCCCCAGCAAATAAAAAGGTTGAGAACCCCTGGTTTATACAGATTTATTTTTTACCATCACATTCTTATTATTACAGTAGATAATGCCCTCTTAGTCTTTTCATATTTTGTATTTCTTTGGCAGTTCATGAACTTTTAGCTAGTATAAATTTTATGACATAAGTTTATCTTAAATCATTGGGTTCACTGAAGATTATCTTTTGATATTCAGTCAGTGGATCATAGAAATTTGCAGAATGATTCTGTTGTATCCCTTTTGTAGGTGGGAAAACTGACTTTTTATTTTAAGATTTCAGTATATTGGCAGTAGACCTTTTTTTCTGTGAATTCCATTCTTGGCCATCTTCATTGTTTTAATACATTTACAGCACTTACAAGAGCTTTATCAAGGTTCTTCTAACCATTAGTATCTAGACAAAGTTTTAACTCTTTTTTTTTTCGTTTTAATGCACTCTAGTTACTAACTAACTTTGAAGTCATTGTATAATTGTCTGTATTGTACTGGGAAACAACTGTATTTTTGATTATCACAAGAATGTTTTGGAATTTTTTTCAACACATGAACTTATTTGAGAACGGTCTTATCAGAATCGTATTTATTCATCAAGTGTGTACCTACATTACATTAATTTTACGTGTATACCATATTCAAGCACAGAAAACTTTGGTGGTAGTACCTAAAGTTTTCCAAGTGCTGGAACGTCTTCACAATTACCAGTTCTTACTGAGCCAATGTCTAGCTTTGTCCAAGGACTAATTTTACATGTATACCATATTCAAGCACAGAAAACTTTGACGGTAGTACCTAAAGTTTTCCAAGTGCTGGAACGTCTGTACAGTTACCAGTTTTTACTGTTCCAATATCTAGCTTTGTCCAAGGGCTAATTTTACATGTATACCATATTCAAACAGAAAACTTTGATGGTAGTACCTAAAGTTTTCCAAGTGCTGGAACGTCTTCACAATTACCAGTTCTTACTGATCCAATATCTAGCTTTGTCTAAGGACTAATTTTACATGTATACCATATTCAAGCACAGAAAACTTTGATGGCAGTACCTAAAGTTTTCCAAGTGCTGGAACGTCTTTACAATTACCAGTTCTTACTGATCCAATATCTAGCTTTGTCCAAGGGCAACAGTTTCTCTTCCTTCCAGATATTATCAGTCAGTTAGCATGTGACAAGATGCTCCTTCTAGCTTTTAGGTAATTTTTAGTAATGAACTCTAACAAAATATGTCATTGTTAGTTGCATTGATCTCAGTAGAACTTGTGAAGTTTGGTTATCTCTGTTTTCTGGCATCAAAATCATCACTATTTTATTTTTTCAAAGACGAATAGCTCACTTTTAATTGCTCCTTCCATTCTTTTTTAAACTAATCTTAGATTTATTTGGTGTGCTTTTTATGTGACAACAATTTCTTAATTTACTGGTAACAGTGGTTTGGTAAGTTCTGTGGTTCCAGAACTTCTTTTTATTATTATGTTGTTGTACATGCTCAAGAGGTTTATGTGTAGTTCCAAAAACCATAAGTTTTGTAGGTTAGTCCAAAAATTAGTTTTCTGTGGTATTCGGGTGCACTGATATTTGTCAAATAGTTAAGTATTGCCAAAAACAACACAGGTTCTGGAAATGTACTGCAGAAAATTATTTGAACACAGGCAGCAAAGGAAAAAGACAAACACAAATGAATAAATAAATCTTTATTCCTAATAATTATGTATTAAATGACTAAACTGGATGGTTTGTAACTGTTATTTCACTTTTACTGACGCTGGGGTGATTATGAAGCTCTTCCTGTCATGTTTGCACACGACAAGGACCCAAATTGTTATGATATATATCACACTTTCAAATCGGACTAAGGGTCCAAGTGTGGTAATGCATAACTCAAAGCAGGGGAGAAAAAACAACTCGTACCAATCTGTACAAATATCTGTGCCACCACTTGAGGTAGGCTCATCCACCTCCTTTAAACATAGACAACCAAGCATGGGGACAAAGTGATGCAAGCTTTTAATGGTTGTGTGTACCATTTACCTCCGTAAAAGGGTTAACACACGTTTCCGATGTTTTGATATCTGGTAAACAAAAATTTCAAAATGTTAGTACTTACTTGAAAATACCTGACTAAATATATATTATATACTTGTAATGGATGAATGAAATAACTATACACCTGGAAAAAA